AATTGGGTGACCCCTGTGAAAGGGGTGGGGACCCACGGGTTGAGAACCGCTGAGCCAGTGGATTCTGACTTATAGGGACCCTGAAAGACAGAGTAGAAATGCCCCACTTGTGTTTCTGAGACTGTAAATCTTTATCGGAGCAGACTCATCATTTTTCCTCTCATAGCTGCTGGTGGGTCTGAACCACTGAGCTGAATTTGCTATTAGCAGCTCAACATGAACAAAGGATCCTTGTGTCTCTCGGCTCAAATGACCAGTCGTGAGATCCCAGAACACCCAGTAGGGCTGGAGGAAGGCCTAGAAGTCCTGGAACGATCTCGCCACAACACTGAAGTCACTCTTAGAACATTCTGATGTCTGTTTCTCCTTCCCAAACCACATACAAGGGGGCTTCAAAAGTTCACGGAAAAATGGAATGGAAAGAGAGTGGAACGCCCCCACAAAATGTTTGAAGCCTCTTCAGACATTGTTCTCCTTAGTTCTCATTTCAAATACTACCATGACAGTGGTACTTTACCTTACAGGAAAATATGAATATTTGAAAAACCATGAGATGGGAATACGATGATTTTTTTTTTGTACATAATTTGTGTTTTGAAGCCACCGGTTGGGTTCTGGGTTTAAAGAGACAAGATTTCGAAATGAGGGTCACCAACTATATCTTAATTATTTGATGATAGGCCATATTCTCAAAATTATAGTTAATCATAAAATCCTACTCCAGCCATTATGATCAGATATAGAAATACTAGGGGTTATGCTTCATCCAAATCATCCACATGTTTACTCAAGCCTATGTTTTCCTTCAGTAAAAACAGTCTAAGGAAACTGTTCAATACAGTAACAGAATAAACCTGAGATTTGGACGAGTCAGAGGTCAGTGGTTTTTCAATCTTCTCACTTCCACGGGGGCATTTCCTCCTGTCATAAAACCAGTGCTGTGAAGCATTTTGTCTACTAAACAAATTGCACGTATTCTAATGGCTTCGTTTACCCCAGGGTTCTTTCTCAGTTTGGGATAACCTGAGGACTTTATTTCAGTCTGGCCAGCGGAGAAGAAATCCGACACGAGTTAGACTGCGGCCACTTTCGGGAAATGTTATGATTTCCAATGAGACTGGGGAAATATTAAAGAGATTTCAGGGATGCCAGGGACTACTTTGGCATCTGTCTTAGGATCTGGAGAAGGAACCCGGGTGGCATAGGAGCTAACTTGTTGGACTGCTAGCTGCAACGTCAGCAGTTTAAAACCACCAGCCATGCCAAGAAAGACAGGCTTTCTACTCCAGTAAGGAGTTAAAGACAGTCTTGGCAAACCCACTGGGCAGATCTATTCTTGGTTCTATAGTTACTCTGCGTCAATATTGATTTGATGGCAGTGATGGAGTAATCTTTTGCCCAAATCCCTAGTATGTCATTCTTCATCTTTTTCTTATCTTGTACTCAGCGGGGGTTGCGAAGTTTGAAGATGATGTGAATGCCCTATAACTACCATGCCAGGCACATTTCAGAGACCGGCTGTTAGAGCTAGTGCATTTCAGAGACACGACACAATGCTGCCTGGTCCTGCATCTCCCCCTGACTGGATGCAGACCAGACCGTGGTGCTCCATACGGTTTTACCAGCTTGTATGCAGAAGTGCATCTGCAGCCCTTTCTTCCTAATCTGTCTTAGTCTGGAAGCTCTGCTGAAATCTGCCCAGCAGCATAGGAAACCCATTGCTATCAGGTGGACTCCAGCTCAGACACCCTGTCGGGCAGAGCAGAACTTCTCTTTAGGGTTTCCAAGACTACCAATCTTTCCAGGAGCACACAGCCGCATCTTTCTCCTGAAGAAGCCACTGGGGGTGGGTGTTGAACCACCAACCTTGCCCTTAGTAACTCACTACACGACCAGGGGTCCTTAAGAGCAACGTGCAAATGTCCCTTGGCAGGCGGGTGGTAGCTGTGCAAGAAGTGCATTGCTGTTCCTTTCTTCATTGGGAGGTTACATGGGTTATGGCACATCCGAATGCAAAGCACTCTAAAGTCTCTGGAGTTGTCCCAGCTAGTTCCCATCAGAAGGAGCAGCGGAGGATCACATGGGTGGAGCCTGCACTCCCCAGCTCACAGCTGAGGCTGGATGGAAACAGTGAAGGATCCAAACTGGGCGGCCAGGTTATGGTGTGCTTGGCCTCCTTGTGTGTCGCCTCCCCCCCACCCCCATCCCACCTCACCTCCGAGATCTTTGGTCTTGAGGATGTCTGAAGGAAGCAAGATCTCAATTTGTTGCTCCCTCAGTTTTTTTCTCTGTGTACCCCCCCCAGCACATGACATTTAATAAGATTTTATGATTTTTAAACCAAGGAGACAGTTAAATTAAAAAGAAAAACGTTTAGAAACACAGGAAATTTCATGAGAAATGACGAATCCATCCGCATACCTTCTATCAGGTTCATTGTGGTCTTAAGCAGGTGTTCCCAGGCTATGACGAGGTAGTTATACCTTTTCAAAATGAACAAACTGGTTCAATACCAAAGAGGGAGAAAAACAAAAACCAAGAAACCAAACCACCATCGGAGAACTGTTTACCAAAGATGAAGCTCCTGGTGATGGTTTGCAACCAGACTCGCTTGTGCAAATTCCCTGGTTGAGTCATCGCTCTTCAGCCTGTCACAGATGCCGAAGGGAACCGCCGCCACAGGAAATTACGGACTATTTTAAACAGCATGTTTTATTAAACTCACTTGCTGATGCACTTTATGGCAGGATGCGAGACTCAAGTGTTCATAACTTAACGTCTCTGCAAGTGCTTCTCCTAAGCGTCTTCTCCCAGCTAAAACACGCCGCGGACTCGGGGCTGGAAATCCTCTCTGAATTCCACCCCAGCTCACGCAGTGATCTCACTTAGCTGGAGAATGGTCAGCTTGTGAAGAGACTACTGCCCACCAGCTAGGCCTCCCTGCCTTGAAACCAGGGAGGTGCCCTCCAGTGACTTCCAGGGTTCTTGGTGGTTACTTTAAACGGCCGGATCAGAACACAGCCACCTGAGGCTGAAAGACTGGAAACCATACAGGCCTCTTCTTTCATTCTTCTCTTCACGGCCCCAAACCTGCCCCTAGTTTAAAACCATTGTTGCAGGGACCCATTTGCTTTTTTTTAAATGCCTAGTAAGATTGACAACACGGTAAGATCCTTAAGTGCGCACAAACTGATTTCAAATGCAAGGAGCTGCCAGGAAAATGGAAATGAAAAAGAATTCTTTGCAAAAAGACTGACTGCTCGCATTGGTTTGAGGCACACGAAATGCCGAGCTGCATCCCATAGGGACCCTTATACCTTCGGTGTGAAGGTGACATCTAAAGACCAGGCCGTCTGCACCAGCTGTCCTCCTCTCCTCCCACTACACGGAGAGCAGTACTACTGTCCTCAGGGGCAGCAGAGATCCAAGCTCCCGATGGAAGGGGTGCGCAGTCACGCTTGGATGGGGTCAACTTTGACGGTTATCAAGAAGTGTGTTCATTCACTTTGCTTCAGCATTTACTTCACAAAATGGGGCATACATTGTTCTAAATGCCTATTGTCTCAAAAGATTGCTGCCAAAGATGCCTCACCCCCATTTTTGATGGATGTGTCGCTTCTTTGCCTGCCTGCGTTCTCCTTTCCTCTGCCCCCTGGCCCAGCAAGCCCTATCTCTAAAACTCCTTTGAGGTGAAGTCTTGAATGATAGGATTTGGAGGGTAGAGGGATACTGATGACATTTTTGTCCTTTTCAAGTACCTTGGGCGGACCATCTTCCACGATCGCTCACCTTTAGGAAGGAGGGCTCAGAGCGCAAAGATGCCGATTTGGATGCTGGCAGGCACCTAGATTTGTTAAGTGAGTAGCAATGAAAGATTGCCTTTGATTTTCCTTCAGTCTGGCTTCTGCAGTATCGGGTTTTCCTTAATGCAGAGCACAGTGGGAAAGGTGTTACTTCCTGGACAGCAGACAGTGATGTGGGGTGTTGGGTGTCTTAAGCGTTTCCAAGTCACTCAGGATACAGCTCCAAACACCAGTTCATAAACCCACTGTGAAGAGGTAACTTGGTCGCTCTGAAAACAGCTTAAATCTCTAAGAAATGGAAATGGCAGGGCTGAGCACACGGCAGTGGTGGGGGACGGCACTCGTAGGCCACTGTGGGAACAGTTCTGTTCTTCAGCTAAGTGTTTAGGGATGACATTTTAATGAAGGAAAAATGAAACAACTCTTTTAATCTGCTGGGAAAGCCCTGGAAACAAAAATTTGATGTCTTCCGCCTCGAACCAAACACCAGGCGAGGGCGGTAAACGGTGGCAAAGCACAATGGAAGCCGACTTCCATGAGACACGAGCTAGTTTCCAGCAAACAAACAAAAAACCTCAGTGACAAAAAGTAACGAAGTTTTCTGCTGTTGGATCCAGGGGCCCCATGCACCCTGAAAAGCAGCAACCCAGCGGTATCGACTGAGCACACGCAGGCGCCCACTGCCCCGTGCACTGCGGAAATTCAGCGAGCAAGGCATTTTACAGCTGAGGCTATCAAGGAAAACAATATCTAGTAATGTCAGGGGCTTTTAGAAAGCAAAAGAGTTATGTTCTTCCTTTTGTACATATTTAAATCTCCATGATTTTCAACTCTTATGACAAATTCATCAGCTGTCTCCCCTTTATCACATGAAATAGTAGCTTCAGAGAATAACAATACAGAATGGTGTGGGATTCGGCTAGCAGTGATCCATAGATTCTAAGCCCTCGGATACGGGTCATCTTCTGGACAATTTGCCCTTTTAAAAAGCGACCAGTAAGCCTTTGGAGTAGGGCATCATGCTAAGCCCATAAACTAGGACCATTCCAAAACACCTTCAGATCGACCTTTATTTTGAAAAGTCCTGTATGGCCTCTGTTCCTATAGTTTCAAGACATTTGCATTTTCCCCCCCTGAGAGAACAGAGTAAGAGAAAAGGGAAACACGGCCAGTAACATGCAAACACCAAAATCTTAATGAATTTTGATCATTTTAATAAATATATATCAAGAAAACCTCACTTTATTACAACACATTCATATACAAGCATCTATCACCTAGGTTTCCACCATCAAATGTTTATCAAATATTGAAAATAAAGAACAAACATTCCTAGACTAGTTAGCTATAACACAAGAACACGGATTAAAAATTGGTCCTGTGGACACTTGTCCAAAAGGATGACCCTACTCATACACTGTATGAATGAGACCGATATTCAATATTGACAGCAATAATAACAAAGCTTTTATCTTGGAGAAACTGGGAGGACTTTGTGATCCCCTCCATTTGGCATTTGGTTCCCGGGAAGCCTTGTTTTAAGGAAGCCAGAGTCAGTCAGTGAGCTTTCGAAGGGGAACACACGTTAGTAGGAGGGGCTGGCTGGAGAGTGGGGGTGGGGGTGGGGGTGGTCAGAGGGGAACTCTGAACATGCGTATGGACGTACGCATCAAAGAAATACTGAGGAAAACGATGGCCAAATGTGCCAGTCCCATTTCTCCAAAATAACTCTGCCCAAACTAGTCTTTACATTCTTTAAGATCAAACCTTATCGATTACCACATCATTTATTAACATTGTGCTTCTTAATCAACAGCAAACGTCATCATATTAAAAAAAAAATCACATGCGCCGATAAGCTCAAGGAGTGAAATGTTGCAAAACCAGGGTAAAGTATAAAGCATGCCACGGGTCCATGGACTCCATCGGACAGTGAAACAGAATGAAACGGAGTAACCAAAACCCCCAAAGAAACCCAAACCCCAGCAACCGATCGTGGCCACAGAAACGCTGAAGCCGTGAAGCTGGTCTCTAACAGCTCTCTCTATTGTCCCCATCGCCCCTTTCCAAACACGTCAGATCCCAAAGTGACTGGGCATCGAAACATAAATTTAGGGAGAACAGAGATGTTGAATCAAAAGTTGAATGCAATAGTTCAAAGTTTTCAAACAATATGGATCCACCCTGTGTGTGTGCGTGTGTTAAAATTTTTTTTTTCTGTGTGTTAAATCCCTGCTGTAACTCTTGATTTACCCTTAATTTTCACACTGGCAAAAATTAAGATCAAGTAAGGCACCAAAATTCGCCCTGTATAACGCCTCTCTAAACGCCTCCTCACCCATCACAGGCTAGCCAGGAACTTGCAGGGATTGCCCTCGCTGTGGATTGTGGATTGCCACCGCTAGACAGGTGTGCTCGTTGCGTTCCATCCCATTTCATCTGTCACACGAGACGGTGAATTACAAACACTGAACAGCACGCTGCAGCTGTGTCATCTAGTGCCCCGTCTTCAGGCATTTGTTCAGGCAAAAAAAAAAAAAATACTGTATCATAAAGAAGCAGCAGGCTTCCTTTGCTGGTTATATCGATCTGCTCACCAAATCACTACCTAATTCATTGGCAAACATGTCGATGGATCTTAACTAGTGACAGGCTCCTTGCAGGGATGGAAGGGGGCGGGGTGTGAAGCAATGGAAATATCACAAGGGCACATTGTCCGCCCTTCCCAATCTAATCTACTGATCTTTTCAGTGAGAAAACGAAGACAGATACGTTCAAGCATGACGTCAAGCTGCCTTCTCGCTAACACCACCACATTGGTTGAGTCGCTCTTGGATGCCTCCTATACAGATGTTTTATGCAATCTGCTCTCCAGGCATTAAAACGACACGGCGTGTTCCTGGCATAATTTCATCCGTTGTACAAAACTATAAAATCCATTCAAAATAAAATTTATGAGAGCTAATTGATCATGCTGTGCATGCGTCAAAGTTCCTGTGGAAAGATGGCTCATATTTTACTTCCTTTGCTGCAGCACAGTTTGTTATTCGGCGAAGGCTCCTTTTTCCTCAAGGACTTTTTCCAAGACTCACTCACATTGTTTTTCTCGTGACATTCAGTCTCAAAATAATCGTAAAACTGGCCTTTGCACTCAAACGCAAGGTCGTGTCCCACAGGTTCATGGCTTAGGAGGCCACCATCCCTGCCGGTGCCACTACTGGCTTTCTCATCATGTAATTTGGCCTTTTCCTGAACACCAAGGGGCCTGGCAGGAGTGATGAATACTTCACTGCCAGATAGCTGGCCATCACTCTTGTACAGAGGTGGTCTGCCTACCTCAAAATCCACCTGGTGGGAACAACTTGGTAAAGGCAGAGGGGGAGAGGAAGAGGAGGAGGAGGAAGAGGAGGAAGAGACAGTGGAGGCACTTCCAATATTAGCATTGACAGAAAGGGGTAAATTTAGATAGTGGCCGCCACACTCCTGGTAAAAGCAGCAGGCATGGAACCTTTCACACTCCTCTTTGGCCATTCGTGGTCGCTTCCGGTAAGGACAGTCTTGAGCCATAAACCATTCTTGGGCAGAGGCGCCATTGAAAGCGCAGGCGGGAAAGCACCAGTTATTCTGCATGAGAATTTCTCCGTGGATCCTTTTCATCAAGTTGTTTATAAGGACGGATCTTCGGAGGTATACTTCAGGGTCGTCGATAAACTTGAGCTTTTCCAAGGACATGTAGAGGATGTGGGCTCGCTCCTCAAAGATCGAGATGGTCTACAAACCGAAACAGGAAGAGAAAGCTTAGGAAATGGGTGAGACACAAACATCATCACAGCCTCTCTCTGCCCGCCTCTCTCCCTGGGCAGAAGTGCTGGGGTCTTGCTGCCTCTGGGGCTGATGAGCGATGCCGCTGCCACTGCTGCGCCTTCCTCACCTGGTCCGGCCAGCCTATTAGTCCCCCTCCGGACTCACTGTGGGGTCAAACATGAGAGAGTTCAGCCACAGGCAGGCCTCAGCAGTGACAGGAAGTTGGGTTGCTCACTCATCCATGGCCCCTGAGGGAAATGCTGTTAGACGCCAGAAGAGACATTACTCTGGGGATGGGCTAGAGTCATGACTAAGCAGGGTGCAAGGGGTTTACTGGGTTAATAGTTATGTTTTGTATCTTGCTCTAGAAGCGAACTTCCCAGGTAGGTTCACCTTGGGGAAATTCATCCAGCTGAAACCATATACTTATGCCGTCATGAGTGCCCCTTTGTAGCTGCTCAAATGTTTAGGCGCTCAGCTGTCAACTGGAAGGGTGGCAATCCCAATGTAGCCAGCAGCACCCTGGAAGAAAGGTCTGGTGATGTACTTCCAAAGGGTCAGCCCTTGAAAACCCTCCTGAGCACAGTTCCACTCTCCCCACCACCACTGAGTCCATGCCAACTCACGGTGACCCAATCGGAGAAAGCAGAACTACGCCATAGGGTTTCTGAGCTGGTAAATCTTTACTGGAGAAGGCCGGCTCATCTATCTCCCGAGGAACAGCTGGTGCATTTGAACTGCTGACCTTGAAGTTAACAGCCCAAAGGCTCATAGTAGAAGACGAACGAAACATCCTGTACCAGCCTCACAATTGTCCCAATTCCGATGAGGGAGCTTTCAACAGTTGATCAAAAAATGGAATAATGAAATTTTCCACAAACTTTTGAAAGCCCCTTGTGTATATGTGTATGTATGTTTATATATACACTATATACATAATACACACACACACACTTATATACATAATACACACACACTACATGTTGGTGCTAACCAGGTTAGCAGTTCAAAACTGCCAGTCACCCTGCAGGAGCTAGACAGCACTTCCTGCTCTTGTAAAGAGTTACAGTCTCTGAAACTCACAGGGGCAGTCCTACCCTGTCCTACAGGCTTGCGATGAGTCCGAATCGACTTGATGGTAGTGAGTACTGACATTGAATAGACTGATTCATAACAACCTTTTAGGACACAACAGAAATACCCTGGCCCTGGTGGTGTAGTTGGTTGTTAATGGCAAGGTCAACAGTTCAAAACCACCATCGGTTCCATGGGAAAAAGATGAGGCTTTGTACGCTTGTAAAAAGTTACAATCTCAGAAACTCATAGTGGCAGTTCTACTCTGTCCTTTGGGAGTTAGAATCGACTTGCGGGCAGTGAGTTTGGGTTTGCTTTTGGTCATCGTTACAAACGCAGACTGCCACATGCTCTCCCGCAGAGAGGCTGGCAAGTTCGAACCACTGACCTTCTGATTACCAAGCTAGTATATAGGACATATACAGAATATGCTTCAATAAGATGTTTTTGGAGGATGCCAAGTGGCAGATCATAATGCTTGTCCTTCCATCCTGGCCCAGCCCCAAGGAGCATGCGATCGGTTCTCAGTTCTGCCTCACTTGATGTCTCTGTGCTCTGCCCTTGCGATCATCCTTGTTTGAAGGAAGACACCAACACTGCATGAGGCTCAAACTCTGATAGGATGCGCCAGTTGCAGGGCCAGTTCAGGCTTCCTTTGGGCACTGGGCAAAAACACAAGTGGACTTACTCCTGTGTGGTGATTGGTGTTATTCCGGTAGCAGTTGAAAAACTGCTACAACCACAATGCAGGAAGTAAAAAGGAAATAGACTGCTGTGTCCCCAGGAACAGCACTTTCAGGTCATAAAAAAAGAAGCAAGCTGGCAGCTTCACCTGAGGAGTTGTGACTTAACTTGAAGAGCTGTGAACGAAAGCGGCTGAGGTTGACCACAGGCAGGACCTACGTAGGGAACCCATCTGCCTAGGCATCCAGATGCCGCTGTAAGCATCATCTACAGAACTAGAAACACTCCGAGCATTTCATGCAACTAAGGTCTGGGTTATTCTTGGGTGGTGCAATCGGGGCAGAAGGACAAGGAGGTTCAACTCCACCCAGAGGTAGCTGGAGAGAAAAGCCAGGTGATCAACCTCTGAAAAGTCAGTCCCTGAAAGCCCTGCAGAACAGAGCGCTCTGACACACGTGGGGTTCCCAGGAGTTGGCACCTGGCTTGGTTTCTTGTGTTTGGTGTACGTGCCGTAAGTGTCGAATCGCGGCCAGCTTTAAAAGATCACCGTGAAGAAAAAGAATGGCTATTTCACACCCTTAGATGGCCAGTGTCGTAATTCTACCCACTTGCCCGATCCCGTTATTTGCTTCCTCTCCATCAGGAAAAAAGTTGACTTTGATCCTGTTTTTGAGAATGAGTCCGAAAAGAGCCCAGTGCAGCTGTGGGATAAGCACTGGTGGCTCTCCCAAGGTGGGCAACCCAAACCCACCAGGTGCTCCTTGGGAGAGAGATGAGGCTGTCTGTGCCAGTCAAGATGTACTGTCAAAGAACCCTACCTAAGGTCGCACAACATCAGAATCACCTCAATCGCAGCAGCCTTCTGGGGGCGGTGCATAGGTAACGAAAGTACAGTGCGGGGGCGCGGTCCTCTCATGCACACGCTGCTGGAATTGCGAGTCTACCGCTACGAGGTCAGGAAAAGCCCTGAATGAGCCCCCAGCACGCACAGGGCAGGCACAGCTCCGGGCGGAAAACGGCCAGAATGGACCAACTACACTTCTGCGTGGGCAGCTGAGAGCTCAGGATGATGCTGACCCTCCATGCCTCTCGAGGAAAACGAAACCGTAAGGCAAAAAGGCAATCCTTGGATTCTTAAATTGTGCTTTGTTTTGTTTTGTTTTCGGAGTACAGGAGCTCTTGCTGGTTCCTTCTTAAACTACTTCACAGACAACAAACAACAACCCCCAAACACAGGACCCCCCCCAAAAGTGACAGTGATGAATATGGTCCTGTTAGGAATGGCTCATGTTCATTGCTTGGGTGGAACAAGTTAATTTCTGGAAATGGATCAAGCAACTGTTACTAAGTATCTTAAACTCTTAATAAAAATAATGACTATTTAAAAGAAAAACAACATACTTTATGGCTACAGCTGCTGAGTGGTGGGTGAAAATCCTCCTCTTCCACATACTTCCTCTTAAAGTATGTGATCTTGGATGTTGTTAGAGGCTTTGAAATTCCCCGGTAATGTGATCCTGTGGTAATAAATCAGATAGGACAAATGACATGCGGCTTGCCAGAGGTTCTCCAAACAAAATACTTTCATTTCCTTCTTCCAAGAAGATAACTGGGTTGCCTGGTTTGTCTGTGCATGTGGTGATTAAAAAACAAACATTTGTCTTTGTAGCTGCTCTCATACAGAATCCTGTGACCCAGGTTGATTCCTAGCCAATTATACAGAAAAATGACAATGCTCCTGATTTACTGGTGACCAGGATCTTAATTCTATGCACAGCAAAATCCATACAGCGAAAGGGTGCAACAACTCTGAGGTAGTATGGTTATTTAAGGCAGACTGTTGACTTAAATCCAGGAGAATATAATAATGCCACTATTGAAATGCACACACCTTTAACATCTTTAACGCTAGCCGATTAGCCAATTTTAAAATATGATCGACTCTGACTTAGTACACCCACATTCACATTAGGATGGGCTAGTCCTTCGTTCAATTAAGGACGAGACACATTTAAACTTTTAAAACTAAGTGCCGACAACTAAAGCTCAAGGTCACGCCCCAAAATGTTAACCAGGAATGAAAATCAAGTCTGAGGGTTTTATTTTTTTAAAGCTCAGAGTGTTTATCCCTGTTTGAGTAAAACAAACTTCCCTGAGCTTCTGTTTTACATTTTTGTTTTCTTCCATAGCAGCTACTGTAGGAAAAAACACCAAAGGAACTTAGACTATAAGAATAGTGTCAGGAACAAATATTTCTATCTTCTTGGCTGAAAAGAAACCCTCCCCTCATAATACCAAAGCCAATTGCGTGCTTAATAAAAATAAAAGGGAGGGGGGAGGGAAATCAACCCACAGAGCCTGGCCCAAAGGGTTAGACTCTTTTTATGTCTCATGGGATGGGATTTCATTGTAAAGCCATAGGGTCTCACAGAGCAGAAAACCCGAGCTTAAATCCAGAGCTTGAAAATCTGGTTTGGTTTTCTTCAAACTAGAGAAGCGTGGCTTATACCTGAGGCAGCAGCACATGTAGATGCAAGTTTGGATGCCATTTAAATATCCCTTCTGGTCCTGCCCCTGGAGCCCTGGGCTGGATTATGAGAGGCACTTAGACAGCCAGGGAAATCCCTGAAGCTCAAAGTCTTTTCACTCATAAGGCACCTGAGAGACAGCACCTCCTCCCTGCCAGTCGGGCCACAGAGGGCAGCAGGGGACAGTCCAGGGCATTACCTGCCAGTGGGGGACCGGCTCCCCGGTCTCCCTGCAGAGGGGCTTGCGCTGGTCCTGGGCCACCAGGGCCTGCATAGCTGTCAGCCTCCCATAGCGTCTGGTACCCGGCAATTTCAGCAGCTCCTTCCGAGACAATGGGCTCGCAGAATCTATTCATGGACAGAACCAGAGTCATCTCTGACAGCCTCGGATCTGGAAAAAAAAAAAGGTGGAGGTGGGGGTAGAGAGGGGAGGGGAGAGAAAGCAGGCTTCATCAGGGGCCAGTCCAGGGCTTCATTCCTTTGCTTTGAGGAAACTTTTCCTTCTCATCCTCCCCTTCGCCCTGAAACAGTTGATTATTTTTTCCAAGGACCTCAGCAAACTCTCTTACCGCTATTAGCTCAGCCTCTGGGTGCAGCCATCTGCATTTCAGGGGCGGTTCTTTAAAACCCCCTTTCTTATTGTTCTCCCAGTCCCCTCAGCCTCTCAGAGACAGCTGCTTTGCCTCCTAAACACAGTTCTCCTCATGACCTTCCTGCAGAAAATGTACCGCTTAGAGGCAGGGCTGAAACCCTTGCGCTTCCTTTCTATGAATAAGGGGGAACAAAAATCAATTTTCTAGTCAATCCCCTGAGAGTTTCCTTTGATGGAAACCTGCTAATCAATCAAAAAGGAAAGCAAGAAAGAAAAAAAGCAGGAGGGTGGGGGTCTCCACCTTCATCCCAACTGAGCTCAGGTTCACAGTGCCCCCAGCCTCTCCTCCGCATGTGCCTGCAGGCCCAGGCCCTCTACAACATGCTGGGTCCCTTCTACTTTCCTTCTCCCCAAGTCAAGCCAGCAGAGACGCTTGGTCGTTGTTTCCACCAGCCCCGATTGGACTGAACTGGGTCTGCCTCCAGTCAAAACACTGGGCGATGAAGACAGGAAACTGGCTCCAGGAGCAGCCATGCATTGCAGTCCCGCAGGAGCCAAGCACAACATCAGCGGAGCAGGCGGAATATTAAACAGGAGCCAGAGGCGGCCGACACGGCTCGACATGGCAGCGCCCAGACACCAGGCAGGAACTTTCCAGGAGGCAGCACAGCACTGCCCTTTGCTCTGGTTCACTCTGGTACCCAGGCCTGCAGGGAGTCGGGGAGCCTGGCACACAACAGGCGGTGGGTGGGTCTTGCATTTAGGCTTAGGGCAGGGTCAAAAGTGAGTTCATATTGGCTACTCGTGGGAAGAAGGGACAAGGAGACTCCAGACTAAGGGGAGCCTGAGCTTCTGGGAGGGCAGATGGCTGGTGGCGGGGCCACGCGATGACCCTCACTCATGTCAATGGAGGGTTCGTGTGAAGATGGTCGACGGGCCAGCTGTGTTGCACATGTGTTTACCAAGGGAAAACAAAACAACAAAAAATGTCAAAAAGTGAATTCACAGCAGAATTTGGTATTAGTCAGGAGACCTGGGGGTCACAGATCAGTGGCGATAGTAGAGACCACCTCAACAGAGCCGCCTCGATGCCAATTCCTTCAGGAGACCACCGCTGCCACAAGCCCACCTTGTGGTTTAAAGAACTGCCAATAAGAGTGATGTCAGGCCCGCTTTCTTACGATTGACTGTCTTTCAAATATACACCAAGGGTTTAATTCTCCCTTTCTTCTTCAAATTCTACAGCTTGTAAGACTTTCGGGGGTGGGGGGAGGAAAGGGACTACCGTTGTCTGATGGAGACCATCATTACCTACATGTTCTAACAGGGTACCAGGGTCTATCCACTTCCAGGGGAAGGAAAGAGGTTCTTTCAAGTGACAAGGTCCTCCTGGTGGCTAACAGAGGCCCTCCTGGCAACAATGACTCCATCCTTCACCCAGGTTTCTCTTTGAGGTCCCCAATCCTGTCTCAGCCACCCTAAAGAATGCAGCCAGGCTCCTTCAAACAACCTTCTGAAGGGCTGAGAAGGTGCCTTGTCAGTGGCTGGGATGAAGCTGAGGTAGACTGCCAAGTCAGTTATCCCTTCTCTTTTAAGATGCCCTAGGGCACCTCTAAAGAGACAGCAGCAAGGACTCATTAAAACATCTCATCACAAGAGGGGGAAAAAGTTCGATTATTCTCTATAAAGAACTGGGGAGGCATGTCACTTATTTGGCCCTTTGAGCCATCAACCAAAAATTTGAGCGGGCATGGAGTTAACCAAGCCATTCTGTCTACTACCCCTCCCTCACACTCAGCAAGGCTTATGAGTACTTATTCCCTGGAAGACTCTCATGAACTGGTCCAATATCTTAACTGATTCTAAGAGATAATTATATCAGGTGATGCTATTTTCAGGAGCAAATGGGTCAGAGCGTTTTTGGGTTTTTTTTATCAGATTCAGTAGTCCCCTCCTAAGGGCTCCAACAATCTTTTCCAGCTAAAAACTTACACTCACTTCAGATTCCATCTTTTTGTCTTTTATTACCTATAACTTCATTACACACAACTCTTATTACATATAAACAAAAACACGTTGACGACCACATGTCCCTGAAGAAAGTAAAGCACTTACAGGCCTCTAGCAGCAATTACCTTTGTTTAATCCGCCCTTCTATGGACTAACTGCTGTCTTACATTAGTCAAGAGTTGGTTTATACTTTAATGACTTACTGTTGGAACTTTTTGGATTGTTACAGATTTTTCTGTGTTTCGAGTTGCTATTATTAATTCCAGCATATTCAATTTCATCATTTTGCATGTGAACTTGAAACTTGGTATAATCATTTTTTGACCTCATCTTTTTCTTTTTTTTTACAATATCTAATTACAGTGGATTTTTCTCTTTTTGAGTTGGAAAACCTTTACACACAAAATCTTAAGCTGGAAAGGCTAAATTCTGAAAGTGATTTACGGAAGTCTGAATAAAACATGAATGACTGGGAATTCTTTGGGGGCTGGGAGATTTTTGCATTCCTTGTCTATATAGAACACACACTCACTGCCAGACAGTCGATTCCAACTCAAAGCTACCCTATAAAGCACGGGGCAGAACTTCCCCTGTGGGTTTCCAAGACTGTCACTGGGAAGCCTCGTCTTTCTTCTGGAGGGCAGCTTGTGGTTTTGAACTATTGAACTTTTGGTTAGCAGCACCTTTAACATGCTCTCTCTCTCTCACACACACACACACACACACACACACACACACACACACACACACACGCGTGTGCAGTGTCAAGCATCAATGTTTCATGAGGTTCTTTACTTATGGTACATGTACAGGTCCAAACGACCCACTCTTTGTGAAAGGACGAGGATGCAATGTGTCATTCTGCTACTGAATTCAGAAATTTAAGCCCACAAATTTATATGCTGTTAATATTATATAGAGGCACAAAGATTTATATTTGGAGTGCAATTTGTTCTTGTCTTTCTTTTTTGACATCAGAGGTTAGTAGGAAAGTGTGCCGCCTATACAGCGTCTTAAAACTACAACAAAAAACCTTTAACCCTTTACTCTCAGGCTCCTCCATGTCTATTGTGTCAGGTAAGTGGATGTAGTGAAATGACATCCAGCATCCCCAAAAGGCTGAGGGCTAAAATGTCAAGCTTTTCCAGCACATGTTCATAGGGAAGTTACCTGGTATTTCTACATCATTTGCTTTTTCCAGGTAAGTTGGACTTGTTCTTTCCCCTGAGTCATTGTCATGTCAACTGACACCCTACAAAGGACACCCAAAATTCCATGGCCATGGCACCTTTAATCTAATGATGTGTGTGTGTGTGTGTGTGTGTCATTCTTTGCCCTCCTCTCTACCTTTACCACTGGAAATAGGAGAATATTGAATATTCAGAGCAGCTAGGGGTCGGATTCCAATACTACAAAGGAGTGGAAATAAAGGTTGCTATTTCCAATCCCTCATTGAAGCTGCCGCTCTGCCCAGGTGGAATCACGCCCTGCCAGCGACAAGATTGCAACAGCTGGTCCAGCTTTGGGTATTAGAGGTGTCGAAGGTTGGATGGGCAGAATAAAATCTTTCCATCCTTCTAAAAAGCCACTTCCTGCCAGTCCCTGCAGTGCACCTGTCTGCTCTGGGAAATACATTTCTCAGCTATAGCCCCAGGAGGTCAGAAGCTTTCGGTCCGTTCCTGGGCCTGGCAACGCTGCTGCTGGGTCTGAGCGGAGCCAGGGCTGCCTGGGTCCCTGGGGTCTGGCGCTGGGTTCGCCCCAAACCAGATCCTGTAAGAAGGTGCGAGGTTTCTAAGACCTATGGAGGGTCAGCGGCCCCAGAGTCCTGGCGCGCGCGCGCACTCCTCTCCCCCACCCCCACCCTGGGGGCTCGGTGCTGCAGCCTCTGACCCCCGCCGGGGTAGCCGGCAGCGCCCGCCAGGCCGCCGTCCGCAGGAGAAAGTACACAACACCCCAAGTGTCTGGGAACAAAGGACAAGTTGTCTTTACGCCGTGAGGAGCGGAGTGCCTCTTCCACCGAAGAATAAGCGTTATGATTATTCTTTCTTCCTTTCTTCTTCTTGTGCCTTTTTTTTTTTTTTTAACCGAGTTTCCTTCTAAGGGAAATAAACACCAAAGGTAGAATTCCAAGGAAATGACTCACGGCGGCTGGCAGGGCTTAGACGAGGCTGGCCGCGGG